TTTGGGTCCTCTGGCACCCTTACTGCCCGGCTTAAGCTAGTGACCAGAGAGAGGAAGAAGAACCCATACCTCTTCAGTGTTGAACAGATGAACATCTCAGACTGAATAACCTTGGCCACATCAAAATCGTGGCCATTCATGAAGCACCAGATCAAGGCAGCTCTCGGACCATTTACCTTAGTGGTGTTGTGGGATGGCAGCAGTCGACTATTGATGAGGTACAACCAACACTTTCCTTCAAAGGTGAGTGAGGCTGAGTGCAGCTTCGATCCTGGCACAACCCACACTACCTCTTCGTCGGTTACACAGATAATTCTGAAAAACAGGTTCCAATTTGTTGGTACTCACCGGTAATCATCATAGTAATCCACCTCCCCATTGAATACAGGCAATCGATACACTCCCCTGATGGATTCTATCGAGGAATTTACCCCCTTTTGTCGCACAATGCAGATGTGATTCTCATGCTCAGAGCAGTTGGCGTAGAATTCCCGGACAAGCATCAAGTTACCCTCCTCCGGCTCTTCGAAGAAGATATCCAGCCTGCGCCTGATCAACTCCCTATACATATTAGGGCACTCAGCCTGGAGGGACCCCCTGTCAATTCCCCTTTCCGGTACAGGCTTTGTAGTAGCCTTTAGACTAAAACGGTCCTGGACAGCTCTAGAGACAAACCTGGTACGATCAAACTGAGCTGAACTGGCCGGTGCCCGTGCCCTGGATGAGCCTCCATGACCACTTGACGAGGCACCGGTATTGCGTCTCTTCTTTGAAGGTCTCATGGTACCTACACAACAAACACCACTATCAATAATTGGTGGAATATGTGAACCAAGGGCGGTTACTCAGACTTCACTCGCACAATTGGTCACAATTTATACTAAAAACTCATTGTGGCAATTCAACAAACATTTACTGTGCATAGGCCCCCCAATTTACCCAAAGACCTAATTAAACTTCCATTCTTCACAACTCAACAAAGTTTTCCTCAACCCAACTAAATCTATTATCCTCACATGCCAACATATATACTAACAATCCAAATCAAAGATAAGAGTACCCATAACTTCTATTATCCTACACTTACAATAGAAGAGGAAAAGAATGGAAAAAATTGAAAAAAAAACTAAAAAAAAAAGAAAGTAGAAGCATGTTACTTACTTGAAGATCTTGTGAGGAATGGAGCTTGGGGAGTGGTTGAGAGAAGAGGAAGAAGGAGAGAAGATTTTGTTGATTTGAGAGATTGGGAGAGAAGAAGGGGAAGGGGTATGCGTTTTTTTTGTTTTGGGGAAGGGGGTTGGGAGGGGGGGGGGGGGGTTAAGTAAAAAAAATAATTAAAAGGGGAGAAGAGAAAATAAATTTAACTGAACCTGAACGGCGCCTCATCCGCAGTCAATCCGCGGCGGCGGATGTGAGACAATGACCAGTGCAAAAACCGCGGTTGAATCTGCGGTTGAATTCGCGGCCGCAGATTTCTACCTCCAGAATATTTTTTGCTTTTTCTTATTTTTGCTTATCTCCGGGATAATTTCGCCACCCCGAGTCCTTCCGCTGTGCATAGTTTCATCCCTGCACATTAGTAGATCGGTCAATATTGTCACCGTTCAAAATCAATTCCAAAAATAAGACAAAGAAAAATAATGGGTTGCCTCTCAAAAAGCGTTAATTTTACGTCGCGGCACGACGATTTACAACAAACCATGGGTTGCCTCCCAGGAAGCGCCTGATTTAACATCGCGGCACGACGCATGCTTTCATTATTACTCTTCGCTCGTGTATTGGGGCTCTTCCAAAAATATCACCACTCTATCCCCCTTTTCTTCGACCATTCCAAGGTAATGTTCAACCTTTCCCCATTCACCGTGAACTTATTTTTTCCATCTTCGGATTCAATTTCTACTGCTCCACTTGAGAACACTTGCACTACTCTGAAGAGTCCTGACAATCGGAACTTCAATTCACCTGAAAACAATCTTAATCTCGAGTTGTATAACAACACTAGATCTCCGGGTTTGAAGTTTCGATCTAGAATATGCTTATCATGCATCATTTTCATCCTTTCTTTGTACAATCCTGAATTCCTTGAGTTCATGTAACTCAGTGACTCTACTGGTGCCTGCGGTCTCCATATCCAAATTCAACTGCTGGAGTGCCCAAAGGGCTTTATGCTCAAGCTCCACCGGAAGGTGGCATGCTTTTCCAAACACCAACTTGTATGGTGACATACTAATTGGAGTTTTAAATGCTGTGCGGTACGCCCATAATGCATCATCCAGCTTCTTTTCCCAATCAGTCCTTGTCGTATTCACTGTCTTGGTCAGGACACTTTTGATTTCCCGGTTTGACACTTCAACTTTCCCGCTCATCTGTGGGTGATAAGGTGTGGCCACCTTATGGCGAACTCCATACTTTTCCAACAGCCGTGCGAACCCTCTATTGTAAAAATGGGTTCAACCATCACTGATTATAGCTCTCGGGGTGCCAAAACGTGTGAAGATATTTTTCTTTAGGAAGCCTGTCACCCCTTTTGCATCATTGGTTGGGAGAGCCACAGCTTCAACCCATTTGGAGACATAGTCAACTGCCACCAGTATGTATTTGTTACCATACAAGCTGACGAATGGCCCCATAAAGTCAATCCCCCACATGTCGAATACCTCCACCTATTGAATAGTAGTCATCGACATCTCGTGACATCGAGATATGTTACCTGTCCTTTGGCACTCATCGCAACTTTTCACCCAAGCATGGGCATCCTTGAACAGAGTTGGCCAATACAAACCCGATTCCAATACCTTAGTCGTTGTCCGAATTCCTCCGAAGTGTCCACCATATGGTGAAGCATGGCAAGCCTGCAAAACAGAATGTTGATCTTTCTCGGGGATACACCTACGGATCATGTTATCTACACATATTTTAAAAAGTAGAGGTTCATCCCAATAATAAGACTGACAATCGCGAAAGAACTTTTTCTTTTGAATTGAAGAGAGTTCATAAGGTACATTACCACTTGCTAAATAATTAGCAATATCAACATACCATGGCGTCTCCTCCATTGTCACTGCTAGTAACTGTTCATCCGTGAATGTAACTGTTATATCTTCAACCTCTACCTTCTTTTCAACTCCTTCCAACCTTGAGAGGTGGTCTGCTACTTGGTTCTCTGTCCCTTTTCTATCACGGATCTTCAGATCGAATTCTTGTAGCAAAAGAACCCAGCGGATCAAGCATGTCTTTGACTCCTTCTTTGCTATCAAGTACCTAATTGCTACATGGTCAGTATAGACAATAACTTTTGAACCAATCAAGTACGACCTGAATTTGTCGAATGCAAAAAGTACCGCCAACATCTCCTTTTTCATCACAGTGTAATTGAGTTGTGCACCGCTTACGTCGTTTTCGC